AGGCATTTGTGGTTAGTTTTGGTGAAGGGAGGACATTGGTGGTCAATGCAGATAAACATCTGCTGCCTTAGCTTGCAATGTAGAGAGTGCTCCCTGCCAATGCTCTCACTCACGATGCTTCTCCTGCTGCTATCAGTTACTATCAGGATCACCAGTGGAAAATTACTCAAGAAAGCCTGAAAAAAGGAAAGCTAATTCAGCCATCAGGTATTGGTAAGCTAAAATATATTATATTTGTTCTTCTTGGGTTTAGATATACTTTAACACTGTAACTGTCAGATACAATCACAGTAATTATGAAAGTAACAAGAAGAAGAAAAAGAAGAAGGAGCAGAGGAAGGAGGAGAAGAAGAAGGAGAAGGAGAAGAAGAAGAAGGAGAAGAAGAAGGAGAAGAAGGAGAAGAAGGAGAAGGAAAAGAAGGAGAAGGAGAAGGAGAAGAAGGAGAAGGTAAAGAAGGAGAAGGAGTAGAAGAAGGAGGAGGAGAAGAGGAAGGAGGAGAAGAGGAAGGAGGAGGAGCACATACAACCATGTGCTCAGACTGAGGCCTAGTGAGTGAAGCTTGAGGATGGAGAGGAGAGAGAGCGACTTCAATAGGTAGTAGGAGCCTTAGAACTTGATCCCCTACCGAAAAATTGAGCTTTCTGCTGAAATGGATTGGTAGCTATTACATCAACTACTACACAGCCAGCTTTAAGACACAGATTGACGCAATCGGCTTAAAGGTCCTCTATCTTTGAAGGTTGCAAATACTTCATTCTATCATTTTTGGGGTCTACGACATTCTGGGTGTCCTATGCCCTGACCTCTATAGCAGTTCTTCAATAAAAGTTCATCAGCATCATATCTTCTGTGTGGACATCAGTTTTATTGGTTGCCACTGGAGGGTCGGTAAGCACTTTTGGGGCAGCAATACAACAATAAACTCTAAACAAGCTAGGAGGGACCATTCTATCCAACAGCCACTTCAGGGGTGAGCGCTACATGAAGAAAGAAAAATCTATTAAAAAAATTGTAGTATATAACCTATAAAATCAGGTATATAAAATAAAGGATAAGATACCAATTTATAGAATGCTCTGAAGTCCTGAAATGAGTGCTGACGGTGTAATACTATCAGTGAAAGGCATCAGCAGCTGACACTCCTACGGCCACACCAGGGAGATCTGTGCACTGCAGTAAATCAGTTCAAGGTGAAGATCTATCATTACGGTCTCTCCAGAGTCTTCTCCTCACCATCCCCTTATAATTACCAGGACAATCGGCGACGTTTAGCCAGCAATTTCCCAAATTCTGAAATCTTCAGATTCCGTAATAATTCTCAGAAGCTGTGTAGTCATCGTCCTCAATTCCTGTAATCATAACAATGTCCCTCTGCACAACAAACACTTGATTTGGTAGAAGGTGCGATCACCCCCCCCGGAGGATCTCCAGAGAGGAAACCCAACCAGTATTTATGTCAGTTTGGTGTCCACAGAGTTTCGGCTCCTCACCTGTTCCCTGCCGCCCGACTCCCGTCATTATCTGGATGTGGTTTTCTATTTATAGGAGCGAGCGTTCACTAAGAAGGAACAGATTGTGAAACTTTATATGTAGATATGCAACTTAAATATCTATATATTTACAAATGATTGATCCGTAGCCGTAACACAATAGATTCAGGTTCATTCTATGAGCACACGGTGGGAGATTTTCTTTTATCAATGAGATATAAGTAACGTCCATAAACTTAGAAATGGGTCAAGGAGCCTTTAGATATGAATTATACAAAATGATTGATCCGTCGCCGTAACACAATAGATTCAGGTTCATTCTATGAGCACACGGTGGGAGATTTTCTTTTATCAATGAGATATAAGTAACGTCCATAAACTTAGAAATCGGTCAACTATAGACCTCTGATGACGCCGTTCCTCCATCCACTACTTATCTGCAACAAAGTCATCTTTTATTGGTAAGTGCTGAATACACAACAGGCAGTCCCCGACTTATGAACGCCCGACTTATGAACAATCTATACTTACGAACCGAGGGCCGATTGCCCCCCCCCCCCCCCGAACTGGGGCCCCGAATGATTGATCCGTCGCCGTAACACAATAGATTCAGGTTCATTCAATGAGCACACGGTGGGAGATTTTCTTTTATCAATGAGATATAAGTAACGTCCATAAACCTAGAAATGGGTCAACTATAGTCCTCTGATGACGCCGTTCCTCCGTCCACTACTTATCTGCAACAAAGACATCTTTTTATTGGTAAGTGCTGAATATACTACAGGCAGTCCCCGACTTACGAACGCCTGGCTTACAAAAATCCCGTACTTACGAACCGAAGGTCCGATTGCTCCCCCCCCCCCCCAAGATTAGTGCTGATCCAGAGTCCCACTCCTTGCCTCTTCCACCCGCAGATCCCGCACTGACACAACTACATACAGCTGTCACAGACTTTACTTCGATTCATTGTAAAAAAAACTTTGTACAATGAACGGCAGTAAAGTCGGTGACACTGAGTCGGTGACACTCCTCATTTAGGAGAACTGTTAGCATAATGGTGCCAATACGAGACTCTGCAGGCACTGCCAGGCAGCCACATCCTGCTGTTTGGGTCATCGTGAGGACCCTCTCCCATGCTCCCTCCCCTCCACTGGCCGCCAAGGACACAGGAGAAGAGGTGCTGCAGCCTGCATGTGTTAGGTGAGGTTGGGGAGTGTATGGGTGATGGCTGGCTTGGGGGGAAAGGGGGGATTGGGGGACTGTAGCTGGGCTGGTGGTATTCAGCATTGCTGTATAATGATTATACACCAATGCTGAATACCACCAGCTATACCGAACTACAAATCCCAGCAACATTATACAAAGCTGATGGTATTCTGGGTTGTTGTATAAAGTATTGCTAGAATTTGTAGTCCTGTGTAGCTTGTGGCAGGGGCGGAAAATGTACCTGTTCCGACTTACATACAAGTTCAACTTAAGAACCAACCTACAGTCCCTATCTTGTACGTAACTTGGGGACTGCCTGTACAGGAATTGACACCACAGCTCCAGCCTGAACAATAATCTGTCTACAGATAGAATTTGTAGATTCATAACGTTTTTGTTATTTATTTTTTTTAAACACTAATTTATTTCACTCCATTTTTTTTTTTTTTTTAAAGAAGCAAAACTAGAGAGGGAGATTGACGTAAGATGACTTTGTTTAATTTTTTTTTTAAATACCCAATTTATCTTTTTGACTAATTTTTTGCAATTTTGTTTTGAATTTTCATAAACTAAAAAAAAAAAAAAATTTCCGATAAAGGGCAAAGTGTAATAAACAAAAGTCCCATTATTTTACTTATTTAAAGTGACACTAAACTCAGGAGTTAAATCTTAAAAATACATTCAAGTACCTTAACTAGTAACAACAATGTATCTTATTTGTGTATCAGTCGGCTGTAGATCCTCCAATCATCTCTGAATTGGTGCTGACACTGTCCTTCCTTCTGGAGGGGGGTACTTTTGCTCCCCATGGTCCCCGTGTGTGTTTTAAAGTAGCCACCACTCCAAGCTCGCTCCCGTGATAGACTACAATCTCAGTACAAATGAGTAAACTGAACATGAGATAGTTAAGGTACTTAAATGCATTTTTAAGATTTAACATCTGAGTTTTATGCCACTTTAAAAAAGTAAAATAATGTGATTTTTGCTTCAATACACTTTGCCATTTCTCGAGCAATACAACGGGGTCTCTGGCACACTTTCAAGCCATCAACTGAAAGAATCTGATGAAACTGTTTCAGCTACTCTGGATGAAAACAGATGTTTTCGTTGTATACATTTGTGGATACATGTCAAGCCACACCGCTGTATCGAGGCATCTCTGCAAAATATGGTTTCTAACTCTAAACCAGCCTTTCTCAACCAGGGTGACATGGTACCCTGGTGTGCCTTCTGGCTTCCTCAGGGGTGCCTCAAATTTTGTGGTAGTGGGACTGTGATGTGAAGGGGGGAATGTACACTAGAGTGAAGGGGGCTCCTGGTGTAAAGCAGGAACTCTGATGTGAAAGGGATGGTCTGATATGAAAGAGGGGGCTTCTGATGTAAAAGGTTTTGTCTGATATGAATGAGGGGGCTTCTGATGTGAAACCGGCTCCTGATATGAAGGGGACTATTGATGCAAAGGGTCTCCTAATGTGGAGGGGAAATCTTTTACTTTTAAGAGGGCACTTCGATGTGAAGGGGGAAATACACTTTTTTTTGTGGATTTTTGCATGGGCTCCCGCCTAAAATCTATGATATTTTAGACTGAGGGTGCCTCAAGAATTTGTGTACTTCTAAAAGGTGTTGTGACTAAAAAAAGGTTGAGAAATGTTGCTCAACTAGAGCCCATACATAGCAATACCCAAACCGTATTGATCCTCTATTGACATACCCCATCTGGAATCTTCAGATTACCAGGATCATTTGAGTGGCCACCATAATAAAACTCCTGCAGGTCCTCTTCTTGCTCTCCGGGCTGGATGAGGGTCAGTCTAGCCCTGGCTGCAGTCTTCTGGGGTGACCGATGGAAACCTTCTCACGATCAGGGGATATTCTGATTGGTGGACTTTTTGTGATTCATTTGGGGATCGTTCTTCAATACCCAACTTTTCATGAGCTCATTCGGAGGCAACATCCTCCTTCTTAACCAGTTCAGCTCTCCCCTGTACACCCCCTTTAGATCCGAGCAATTTTTACATTCCTGTAATGAATTCCTGTTTATTTTGTGATCATTTTGTCATTACTTAAGATAATAAAGTATCATATACAGTATATTATTTTGCAGAACAAAATAGGTGGTTTTTTGGTAATATTGTCTTACTAAACCTAAAAAAATAACAAACAAATTCCATTCTTGTTCCTAAAATCAGTATGACAAAAGCCAGCTAATATTCTAACTTCTGTGTCTGTTCTCTTCCGATAGGACTGGTTGGCCAAACACCATCTGGAATCTTCAGATTACCAGGATCATTTGAGTGGCCACCATGAGAAAACTCCTGCAGGTCCTCCTCTTACTCTACTGGCTGGATAAGGGTCAGTCTAGCCATAGCTGCAGTCTCCAGGGCTGGCCGATGGAAACATTCTCACAGTCCGGGGATATTCTGATTGGTGGAGTTTTTGTGGTTCATTCAGGAATCAATTTCCAACAACCAACTTTCCATAAGAGGCCAAAACCAGTTTCTTGTACAGGGTAAGTTCTGGAGGCAGCTGTCAGATAACAGTGATGTTTACGGGGTTGTCTGTGAAGGTTCTCATTCATCCGGGTCATGGTATATCTGTAAAAATTAAATCAAGGCAACTGGACTTGCTGTATTTTTCTTGAAGATGTTTCACTTATCATCCGACTTAGCTTTCTCAATTCAGAAACTTTATAGCTTTCTGAATTGAGAAAGCAAATCGGATGATCAGTGAAACATCTTCAAGAAAAATACAGCAATTCCAGTTGCCTTGATTTATTTTTTATAGGTGTTCATGGGGTAGTTTTCTGCTTCTGGTCATCTTCTGATTTATACAATCTTGGAAAAGTTACCATGTGTTCTGCTTATAGTGCCGAATACTACAATATAAACGCTTTACTCCAAGATGGCAGATCAGTAACCCGAGGTAAGAACTTATTGGCCTCCCCCTCGTATAATGACTGATAATTCTAATTGACACAGAAGAGAATGGACTTAGTATTGATTGTATTTTTGTAAATCCGAAACTATTACATTCTCACCCCTGTAGCGCTACCAACCTTCCATTTCTTAACCAATTCTTCACCCCTTTTTAATAACCCTGTGTTGGTGTTTTTTTTTCACTGTTCCTAAAATTTCACAGATTGTTACATTTATAGTTAAGAGTAGAATTTGTTATATTGTAAACTTCCAAATATCAGCGCAGCTTGGACCCGAGGAAGGCAGTTCATTTCTCAAAAGGTTGTCCTGGAAAAATTAACTGTGGTAATTAAAAAAGGATCATGTCCAGAACTCAACTATGTGACAGTAAAATACAAATTAAGGAAATAGTCACGAATGAAGAGACGGAGAGGTCAGGGTAAGGAAGAGATATATTGTTACATACAAGTGTTATTTCACCGACCCAAATTTGACATTTTCAGGGCATGCTTTTATTATTTTTATAAATCCATAAAGAAGCAAAACTCTAAATGACCATTCTCATACACACCCAAAGGCAAAAAGTTGCCTTTCTCAGTACTCTGAAATAACCGGGGGAATACATTTTAGACATTAAGGAACCCCTGCTAAAATTATTATAGGTACGTTAAAGAAAGAAATTGCTGGTCTTTGGAAAATTGCCCCATTACCCTATCTACCCTGATTGGTGATCAGGGTAGATTAATTCACCAATGCTAATCTGTCAAGGGGTCACTAGCAACCTCGGGCGGTACCCTAGGGTTCTATGTTACACATGTTGAGAAAGAACACCAAGGGATTATATGGATTAGTAAGCGAATGAGGAGGGAGTTGCAATAGTCAAGACGAGAGATAACAAGTGAGTGGATGAGTAGTTTTGAGGTAAGTAATGAGCTCAGTTTTTGAAAGGTTGAGTTTTAGGAAGTGTTGTGACAACCAGACAGATATGTCAGTTAGTAGATTAGTGACACGCAAGGACACTGAGGGGGTGAGTTGTGGAGTAGAAAGATAGATTTGAGTGCCATCGGCATAGAGATGGTATTGGAAGCCATGTGAGGGTATTAACTGACCAAGGGAGGAGGTGTAGATAGAGAAGAGGAGGGGTCCAAGGACAGAGCCTTGGGGGACCCCTACAGAAAGAGGAGGGGAGGAGTTAGATTTGTAGGTGACTCTAAAGGAGCGCTTAGATAGGTAGGAGGAGAACCACGAGAGAGCAGAGTCTTGTAGGCCAAGCAAGTGGAGTTTTTTGAGGAGGAGCAGGTGGCCAACAGTGTCAAAAGCAGCAGAAAGGTCTAATAGCAAGAGTATGGAGTAGTGGTCATTGTTTTTAACTGTTAGTAAGTCACACATCACACGCATCATCTACTGAATCATTCATTAACAAATTGAAAAGAACCAACACTGATCCTTGAAGACTTCTACTACAAATGGTAACATATTTCACCTTTTTACCTTGAAGCAACTCTTTATTCTTGTGCAAACCTTCTCCCTCAGCCCTCTCATTGTTGAGCAGATTATTATGAGGAAGACAATCAAATGTTTTCTATTAAGTTCCATCCAATACATTTCCAACATCCAGTTTCGAGCTTACTTCCTTTTTAAAAAACTCATGATGTTAGACATGATGCTATGGTTCATGAACCCACACAGGTTCTCATCTGAGCTCATCTGAACATAGAAGAAAGCTGTCAATCTCACCCCAATCAGCTGTGGCTGGGGCATTTCTATCTCCATGTGAGATAGAGACCTTAGATTGGTCCCTTAGGGTCGGGACTGATGTGGATGTGCCGTATGTAAAGTGCTGCAAAACCTGTTGGTGCTATACGCATACCTGTAAAAAATAAAAGGAATTCATATAAGAAGACTATCATTACAGGTACTCACTCCATACAGGTACCAGAATACTGTACAATATTTTCAACTATAGCGGACCTTTATTTGCCTTTAGAATGTCTCTAAAAGCGGATTTTTTAAAATAAACTTTTTTTTATTTCTGTCCAGGAACTGAAATGTTGCCTGCAAGGGCAGCCACCTAAATAAGGGACATGGAGGAACTCAGCTATGAAGGAAGATTAACTAAATGGAAATATTCACCTTTGAGAAGAAGAGGTTATGAGGGGATAAGAACACCTTATATAAATATAAAAATGTCCATACAAGTTATTCACTTTAAAGTAATGTTACCATTAGTCTCCGTTTCCTGGGTCCCCATTTTGAAAGGTCTGCAGTGGGAAACAAACATCCCCGGCAGCAGTGACCTGCAGTCACATACAGCAAGTTTTGGACGTGCTGTAATGGCTGCCTGTGGAACTCTGTGTAATGTACTACTGATCCCTGAGTTCAGGGGTTAGTAGTAAGTAATGCAGGGTCCAGGGGTCAGTAGTAAGTGACTTACTACTGACCCCTGGACCCAGCATTACTTACTACTGACCCATGAACTCTGCGTCACTTTCTACTGACCCCTGAAGCCTGCATCACTTACTACTGACCCATGCATTACTTACTACTGAACTCTGAACCCTGCGTTACTTACTACTGAACCCAGAACTCTGCATCACTTACTACTTACTTACTTACTACTGACCCTTGAACCCTGTGGTACTACAGAACCCTGCATTACTTAATACTGAACTCTGTGTTACTTGCTACTGTCCCCTACTGATGACCCCTGTACTCCATGTGTTACCCACTGATATCCCCTGTACTCCATGCATTACCTACTCATGACCCCTGTACTCCTTGCGCTTCTTGCTCCTGACCTCTTTATTCCATGTGTTGCCTACTCCTAACCCCTGCACTCTGTATGTTACATACACCAGATCACTGCTCTCTGCTCCATTAACCGTTGACCCCTGTGTTCTGCGTTACACACTCCTGATCCCTGCACTATATGTGGTACACACTCCTGATAACTTCACTTTGTGTGTTTACACATGCTTAACCCATTGTAGAGTAGCCTCAGGGTTAATTTAATCATGCATCTTCAGCTCCCACTGTTAGTGTAATTTTACTGCACGCATGATTCATTGTGGTGCTCTGCATGCGCCACATTATGTCACTCCTTATAGTTCCCAGGGCACTTAGTCATTACATCGTCAATGTCTGCTTCCTCTTCCAGAAGTCTGTGATCAATTGTTTCCGGGCATGCTAAAAAGGGAGGCATGATTCTGTGGGTGTGGCTGAAAATGGGGGGTTTATGGGTGTGGTTATAAGTGGGCACGGTCAATAGGGTTTCCCCAGATTTCATTTTGAAAATCAGGTAACCTTAATTTCAAGTCATCACAAAAGCAGAGATGCGATGCAGCGATCCTGCCCAGTGCCGACTACAAGAGGCACCACATTAGGCTACGGGGACCGGAGTGAAACTGTGAGTAAGGGAAACTGGGACGGGGCTGGCTGTAAATCTATTGCTATAGTGTACTGGACGTGTGTAATGTATATGTAGTACATATATACAGCACACACCTCCACTACACTCCAGCAATAGAGTTACAATTCTCCCCTGCTAACATGAATAGGTTAAACCATGATCCATAGTACATAACATGTAGTTGTACTATGGATCATTTAAATTCACCTGTCCCTTTAAGAAAAAGTATCGGTAATTGGTATCGGCAAGTACATGAGGGGATGTACTTGTACTTGTACTTGGTCCTGAAAAAGTGGCATCGGGACATCCCTACTTTTGGTAATTAATTAACTGTAATTAATACTCAACTCCCTTGCTGCCGAGGTTGCCATTCGCAGCTGTGTTGCAGAGAAACCACTGCATGAAGATTATACCGAATCCAACACTTCTAGGAGTGTTGGGTTCCTGGTCCTCTGCTGCGATTGGGGACCCCAATGTCATTACAAGACACATTGGCTTCAATTTTGATGGGGCAAAGATGAGAGGGAACACAGCATAATGATCATAAGCCGTAATATCTCTTGATGTTCTTTCGCCTTGTGTAGGTTCCACATTCGTTACTATCGGGATGTTCTGGGCCTCATGTTTGCAGTAAATGAAATTAACAATTCTCCGGAGCTGCTGCCCAATATCACTCTTGGCTTCAGCGCATTGGATTCCTGTATGTCGGAGCCTCAGGCGGTGGGAGCAGTTCTGTCCCTGCTGTCAGGACTTGGAAACTCCTTTCCTGGGTATAACTGTCATACATCTTCAGCCATGGTTGGCATTGTAGGTGACGAGTATTCCTTTTTATCTATTCCTATTGCCCAGATAACTGGCGTCCTTCATTTCCCACAGGTATATAAGAGTTATAGATGTGTCTGGGTGTATTTATGTTAACACATTGTTCCTTATGCTTCATTCTCCATCCCCATACATGTCCCCCAGGGCAGTACCCGGATCCCCATACACCTTTTTATGGCCAGTAAATTGCATATAAGGCTTCATAATGGGGACATTTGATTATCAAAGTTCTACCTCCCATATACTTGCATTGAGTTTGAATTTGAATTCAAACTTTTCCCATGTTCTAAAGTTCGAATTCGAATAACTTTACAGATAAGTCATGGGGCCACTTTGTCGACTCTCAGCAATAAATTCTTATTTCCATCATTTTTTCGCACGGTATCCAGCATAGATCCGATAATGGCTTTTGTTGACCTCTTTGGCAGCTTTGGTTGGACTTGGGTCGGCATGTTGATGGCGGACGATGATGTTGGGCATTACGGTGGACAAATTATACAAAATAGGATAAAAAGGAACGGAGGCTGTATCGCTTTTTTCGAGAAGATCCATCTGAGTTATTCAGACAAACAGATGAAGAGAGTGGTGGACGTAATTAAAAGAAGCTCCGTCAATGTGATTGTTCTGCACAGCCCGGACGTCCATATTAAGGCCCTGCTAGATGCTTTGTTTAATGAGGGCGCTGCTGGAAAAATCTTCATTGCTTCAGATTATTTTGGACTTTCTTCTGGAGATTTCTCCAAGAAAGCCTTGAAGGTTCTCAATGGGACAATTGGACTGATTCCACGCACTGGCACCATGCCAGAGTTTGAGGAATTCCTTCTAAACCTTCATCCAACTGGCAACCCAAGTTACCCATTTATTAGGCCATTTTGGGAGAAGGCTTTCAGCTGTCAGTGGACTAATGAAGGTAGCGAGAGGCCAAATACTCCCCATATAAAGGCAAATGTGACCTGCACTGGAGAAGAAGACCTGGGAGGTAGGGTCGCCCAGTTATTTGAAACAAATGATCTCAGCTACACCTATCATGCCTACCTGGCTGTGTATGCCTATGCACATGCTCTGCATTCACTGCTTGGCTGTAATACTGGATCAAATGGGTTTTATAATTATGGGACATGTGGAAATATCAGTGACGCGCAACATTGGAAGGTGAGTTACAGATGGATTTTTGAACTATGACTCTTTCAATTTGCCTTTTATTTAACAGCTTTTATATAAAAATACCCTAAACAAAACCGATGATTGCTGATTGGTTGGTTCTGATCATAGCACATGGATTGGATGTTTACAAAGGATTTTTACAATTTGCCAGGAATTGTTGCAGCAATTCTCAAGAAGCCAATGCTGCTCAAAGCAGTCTAGAGTAGATGACATGTGAGGACGTCTTTCCAAAAAAGACCCTCCAGTTGTAACTTGTTGAGAATCAGTGAGCAGACATAGTGCTGATAAGATATCAGACTTTATTGTCTAAGCCAAGGCTTCTTAAAGTGTGGGTCACAACCCCATATTGGGTCGCTCAAGTGAACAGGGGGTTCGCAAGCAAGATTTCTTTATTTTCATTTAATGTTTAATGTGCAGTGACAGTGTAGTGTAGTTGTTAAGGTCACGCCCCCCTCCCCTATGCACTTGGTACCTTCCTGAGCACATGCTTTTTTTCTTCAGTGACTGAGTTTTCTTTAACCCAGCATAAGTGGAGCACAGCTGCAGGAGGTAAAGGTAAGGAGGGGGAAGGGGGGTAGTAGTTGGTAATGGCAGAGACAACGACCGACCGTCAGTCCACGGCGCAGTACCTGTCGCTGGGGTCACGTAAAAATTTCCTCGGCCAAAAAGGGGTCGTGAGTGGAGAAAGTTTAAGAAGGCCTGGTCTAAGCTACAAAGACATACATTCTTCACCACAGCTGGCTGGTTCTGGTTGCCTGAATGCATACATATATCATCGCTGAATCTTGATCTTGACATTAAAACACGATTCCATTATTTTATTTCATGCCACAAAGTGTTTGCACAAATCTACTTATGACAAGAGTATGGACAACAGCACCTAATGCCAATATTTTAGACTTGACATGAATAACCTGTTTTTTAAATGCCTTAGCTATGCACAATGTCCTACCCAATTGCTATAGAGATATCGTAGTGGTGAGCACCTAAGATAACCTCTCCATTATCCTGAACTAACTAATAGTTGGGGAGGCCAGCTGTGAGTGATGCCTTGTTATGGCCTTTGAAGGAGATGTAGGAGACACAAATTACTATGGGATAAGCTGACGACTAAAAAAACACAATGATCCTTCGTGTGATTCTAACCACCCATACCCATTATGAACAAGGTTTGAGTTTGAGACAGGTCCCTAGGATTCCTGTTCAGGCTACATTGTGAACTTGTAATTAATAAGCTTGTGAGTTTGCTCCATAGATTAGGAAAAACCCATAGTGTATAAACATTCCAAAATAGGTATAGAGGCACTCATGGGTCTTAATAAGTCAAACGGGTGGAAATAAGTCAAAGCATTAGTATTGTATTGTCAATGTTACTACGTAATTCAGTCCATACTTTTTTTTAAAAGGACAGGTGACATTTTTTCTAAAACAACACAGACTGATGATATTAGGGCAGTTTCTCACCAGAGCTAAATACATATGTCCACAGAGCACAACATATGTCCACAGAGCACAATACATCTCACCAGAGCAGAAGGCTGCAGTATCACCTGGGCGGCATGTGGATCTCTGCAGGGCTCTGTGGTGCAGTGGCTATGCCGTGGAGAGTTGCTTGAAGCTGGTGCCGGTGTTTGGGGCTGTACGGTGCTGTGTGGGGCTGTCCATGGCTGTGCCTGCACTGGGACGGAGGAGCAGAAGATATAAAACTGGACAGGCACTTCCAAGGACAGCTACTGCCAGGTCCCCAGCAGGCTGCCAAGGTCCGCAAAAGCGTGGGAACTCAGCAGCCGCTGTGATTTAACAATTTAAGGGGCCAGTATCGGTCTTAAAGGAGAACTATGAGGTGAGTGCTTTTCACTCACCTCATAGTTCTAGCCGACCTGTGACAATGAGACTGTCACAGGTCGGCTCAGTAGATCGGGAGGTGAGCGAACACATACCGGCGTTCGCTCACCTCTCGATCCTGTCACGGCTCTCTGCCTGACTGGCGGAACGGACGGGGGAGGGGGCGGGTACAGCTGGCTCTGCCTTTGGATAGGCAGGGCCAGCTGTCAGTCATGCAGCTGGGCGGATCCCGGCACAATTGTCGGGATCCGCTTCAGCTGCTGCGGCGTCTCAGTATACCGCGAGCTACAGCTCGCAGTATACTGAGCCTAGGGTGACGGGGGGACGCTAGTTTGTGTCCTCCCGTTACCCTAAGGAGAACTATGGGGAAAAGACTTAACCCCATAGTTCTCCTTTAAGAATAGGGGCATTTTCACAAGTACTCGTGAAAATGCCTGGTATCGGCCACAATACTGATACTAGTATCGATATCGGGACATCCCTCGTTTTAAGATTTTTTAACTGCGTAAAGTTGGGCTTTAAATGTGGCTAAATTTGTTGTGATATTCAAAAATTCATCAGGTGATCCGTTATCTCAAGAAAACCAAGTTCCACTCAAAGTCTGGGCAGATGATGAAGTTTAATGCCCAGGGGGACCTTCCTGCTTCCTCAGATGTCTTGAACATGCAGATCCTCAATGACAGCTTCAACCTGGTGAAAGTAGGGATGATTGACATAGAAGCCACCTTGGGTGAGAAGATCAGTGTGAACTTCAGCGCCATCCTCTGGAACAATCACTTTTTACAGGTAATTGATGCTGACATTCTACCACTCGTTCGGTCATTTTGTTAGATTTCGGTGGCTTCATAGGTAATGCTGACATTTGCAAGGCCTGTTGGAATCTGAGGAAGCTCTCTTTTCAGTCTTCTCTACATCCTCAAAGAAAGTGATAGTGAAAATAGAATCAATATTATAGATTATGTACTATATGGCCTAAAGTAGACACCTGACCATTACACTTACTGGCCAAAAGTATATGATCCCTCTCCAAATGAATGAATTTTTACAGCAAAGGGAGATGTTAATACTACAGCACAATGACATTTTAGACTAGTGTGTGCTTCAACCCTTGTGGCATATAGTCTGGGGAAGTATCCTGACTGTGCCCCTGTATACAAAGCAGCTCAATAAAGGAATGGTTTGACCCATTTGAATTGGAGGAACTTTTATTGAAAATACCAGAACAATAAAAGAAAATTAACAGATTTATGTGGATTTGGAGCAACATTCACCATATTTATTCCCAGAGAATGTTTGTACAAGTCATTCTAAATTGAGAAAGCTGGTCGGAGGACCAGTGAAACGTCTTCAAGAGAATTACAACAAGTCCAGTTGCCTTGACTTATTTTTTACAGATATACCATGACCTGGATGAATGAGAACCTTCACAGACAATAAAAGAAAATCATACTAACCACTGATGTGTTTCAACCAGCTCTAGGCATAATCATAGGATAATGGGTGGGTAATTGCTTTATAATGGTAGTGGGTGAGTTGTCCATGAGGTTTCCATTGACCAAAGGTCAACATAGACAGGTAACAGTCTCCTGGCCTTTTTGGCTAGGTCAGGTAGCATTCCTATATCTGTGGGGCAGTGCATGACAGCACCAAATGAGTATTCTCAGGGAACAAAAACAATCATCTGGAAACCCCTTGCACAACTATTGTTGTTTTCCATGTAATTCAGACTGCCACTTCTTTCTGCCCTCACTCGTGTGAGTAGGCTGCTCCTGTTCAGGAGAGACAATGACCTAAAGGGGATCATAATACAAGCAGATTGAATGCATGTCCCCATTTTTTCAAACACAGATGGCCAGCTATATTCCAGGGTAAAACTCATGTGAGTGAACGTTTTCCCCCCCTTTAGTTTGAAGAAAAGTTTATATTTTACGAAAGGCTAGCATGTATCATGGACCCTCGTGGCGATTTTGTCTCCTCTGCAGATGCCGATCTCTGTCTGCAGTAACAGCTGTCGGCCTGGGTACAGGAAAGTCCCTTCGCAAGGAAGACCCATCTGCTGCTATGACTGCATCCCCTGCTCTGAGGGAGAGATGACCAATTACACAGGTATCATATGGTGAAGTGGCTGAACCTTTAAAGTGGGAGAAACAAGGAGGGCGCAGGAGGTGCGGCCTGCAATGGGTGACACAATCATTGGGGGTGACACCAAAATGACTGACAGTCCTTTTGATGTCACCCCCTCTAAAAAGTCAGGTAGTCGGTCATAGACCGAGCGCCTGACAGCTGCATGAGAAAAGATGAAGTCCCCTCCTCTCTTTGCCGGTGTCCATTACCAAGATGGCCACCAGCAGTTAAATGCACGTGACGTCATTACTGACTAGAGTGATAATGTCACACACGTGCGTGACACCTGGTGCTCACACTGGGTGACACCCAACCTGGGGACGCCTCTGGGGTGTCAGCTGAAAGGATTATTCGGTTTGATTATGCATGGTTCCATATTGAGATGCCACCAAGTACTTACAAAGCCTGGGATATTGGGTTATGGTGCCCTTGAATGGCAAAGCACCAATCACAATGGAAGCTTAAATGTATATCATACTATACAGTATATCCAAAATGTATCCGCAAATTATGTTGCGCTAGGACAGAGCAGTTTTATACTCAGGTAAAACTGTTTGATGTAATATGTCCATGAACAAACAAAAACATTGTGTTACATAACCAGGGTCCAGTATGGTAATCCTACCCCCTCAATAATGGGTACGGACTCTACAGAAGTAGACATGTCCAGTATTATGGATCCCATACTACCTCTAGTGATTGTTAGTGCTGATTGGCACAAGAGTAAGCATGTTAGCGTGCATTTATGTCCTGCCAAGCAATGGATGCATAACTCCAGTATCACACGTCCCATATATTATATAACAATGCATCAATCATACATATATCCTGTGAAATATTCAGACATTAGAATATCACATGTAGAGCTAATATAATATCTTAAATCTACAGTTCAAATTGACTTCTGGTTACCTTGAATAGATTTGTAGTGTACAATGGTTTTGCCTTTAATGGGACATTATAGGGAGTACAAATATTGAGTAATTATTGTAAAGTTGATCTGAAAATAATTTGTTGTCCACCCACTTCAATGCCCAAAAAGACTTTGTCCTCCCTCATTCTTTTTACACTTAGAATGTCTTACTCTGTATTCTCTATCCATCATATTTGGGCTCCTCATTGTTCTATTAGCCTCCATCTCAGCAGCTGGAAAAATACTTTTTCTGGTGTGTTGGTTTGATCTGTTCATATTACTTATCCCACTCAACTTCAGCTACTCTGAACTCTGATCTGAAACCTTCTGAACACCTTTGGATGAACTGGAACACTGAATGAGAGCCAGGTCTACTCAATACCTGACCTAAAAAATACACTTTTTGGCTCAGTGGGCCCCAAATCCCATAGACATATTCCAAAATCTTTCAGAAAGCCTTCCCAAAAAGTGTTACATAGTTACATAGTATCTGAGGTTGAATAAAGACATAAGTCCATCAAGTCCAACCTATTGTGTGTATGCATTTATGAGAGGTGTCCAGAAACCTTTGGACATATGGTAAATGTGATGAGCATATATGGCTGTGGTGTTTGTTATAACACAAATTCTAAAACAGGTATCATACAACATTAACACATACTGCTAAGATTATTATTTACAATATAGTTATAAAATACTGCAATCAAATATGTGATTTATCTTGAGCATTAATATACATTTTGCATGTTCTATAGATGCGGATGAGTGTTTCAGATGTCCCTCCGATCAGTGGTCCAATGAGGATAGGGACAGGTGTATCCCAAAGGCTGTAGAGTTCCTATCATATGATGAACCGTTGGGAATCACTCTGGTGTTAACAGCTGTCATCTTGTCAATCTTCACACTCAGCATCTTAATTATCTTCATTCAGTATCGAGAAACTCCCATCATCAAAGCCACCAATAGAGAGCTGAGCTACATCCTGCTGGTGTCTCTCATTCTCTGCTTCCTCTGTTGCCTGGTATTCATTGGTCAACCGTCAACTTTTAGTTGTCTCCTAAGACAAACCTTCTTCAGTGTGGTCTTCTCCATCAGTATCTCCTCAGTCCTGGCCAAGACTATTATGGTGATCCTTGCCTTTAAGGCCACCAGGATAAACAGTTCATTAAGAAAATGGCTGGGTCCAACTATCCCTCGTAATGTTGTTGGGATCTGTTCTGTTTTGCAGATCAGCATTTGTTCATTTTGGCTATACAGTTCCCCCCCTTTTCCCATACTGAACAACAAAAGTCAAAAGATAATATTTGAGTGTAATGAAGGACAGAAAGTATTTTTCTACATGACTCTGGGGTTTATGGGCTTTCTGGCCATGATCAGTTTTCTAGTAGCCTTCCTGGCAAGGAACCTTCCGGGAAGCTTCAACGAGGCCAAACTGATCACCTTCAGCATGCTGGTCTTCTGCTGTGTCTGGATCTCCTTCATCCCATCCTATCTGAGCACCAGTGGCAAGTACACCGTGGCTGTTCAAATATTTGCTATCTTGGCCTCCAGCGCTGGACTGTTAAGTTGTATATTTCTTCCCAAATGTTATATTATCTTGCTGAGACCAGAGAGGAACAATCGAGATTTCATATCAGGCAGTAAAGAGAGAAGGAATTGGATTAAATAAAACTCTTCCTCACTATATAGAGTTGATGTACAAAAGGAAAGCTTTCCATTATTTCATTTTACATCTTCAGAAACTTGTGAGGATATTGGGTGCAAGTAAAGGTTGAGCAGTTGTCACAAGGCATTGTCTCCTGTTTGGTTAACTTCACTTTAGTTTCAGACAGACAACCACCGGTCATAGACTCTGTAAATACTATATTTACTTTGCCTTGTTATGGTTTAGTCCAGTCAGAGGAACACAAGTTTATCCAGTGACGTGCGGTACCTTTGGTTCCGGGTGAGGCATTCCCCAGCCTCGCCCCAAGCACAT